TTAAAAAAAAAAAAAAGAAAAGCCCAGTTTTAAAATGAGATTCCAGAGCTTCAGCAGAAACTTAGTCATTTCTAAACTGCATCAATAAAGTAAAATGACTATGAAGCACTCCACCTAAAGTGATTTACTTTGGAAAGGAAGAAAAGAATCTGTCCAAAGCAGAGGAAAAGATCCTTTATGCATGTGAAGAGGTAGACACCTACAGAATGTAAGTCAAATCCTTTTAGAAAACCAGAAGGAATCATTGAGTCTTTGACTATCAATTATCATGAGAAAAAAGGCTCATGATATTTGGTGAGATACCTGTTGGCTAAAAAAAAAATTCAGTAAGAAAATAAAATCCATACTTCAGAGAAATAATGATTTAGGAAGAATTTAAATCTCAACTTTGCAAAAAGTATCTTTATGTCCCTGAGGTTCCAAAAGAGGACTTTGGCAGAGGTTCAAAGAGGTGCTGGAATTCCCTGGTATGAGGAAGGACATTCTTAAATTAGGATGGCTCAAAGATCCAGAATCTTGTGCCTGTGTGGACCACATTCCTCAAATCAGGCCAGCTCCATCCTGACACATTTCCTCCATAACAGCAAGACAGAAAACTTGTCCTGGTGCTCCTCATGCTGGCCTCATGCTCAAGACCTTCCTTGGACAACTCTAAGAAATGTAAAATTTTCAGAAATACAGGCCAATAGAAAGATACCACATATGATTTTGGCCATTTAAATATGCCAAATTCAATCCTCTCACCTGAATGGAAGGCAGCTGACCCAGTTTCTAAGTCATCTGCCTATCAGAGGTCAGGTATCACAGGTGGGTCCCAGGAAACAGTTCCTGACAAGAGACCTCCTGTTCATGGTCATTTTTTCTGGAAATCCAGTTTGGGCCTCCCCAAGAATCCTTTCCACAGAGGGATAGTCATAGCCTAGTACGTTCTCCACTGGCAACAAGAAACATCTCTAAACAAGTGTTGGATTCGGGTTTTCTGTTTTTTGGGTTTTTTTTTGCCAACACTACATGAAAACAGAAGTGAGGCACATTCATAATTGATCTAGCTTTCTAATATTTCCAAAAATCAGAATCATAGGAAAAATGCACTTTTGCTTTCTCCTAAAGTAATTTTGATATTTTCTCTTAGTTTCACTGCTCTTAAAAGAGTGATCATTCCAGCCTTCAAGTGGAAGATGGAGAGAATTTCAATCTTAAGATACTGTTTTACCTAGATTATGTAAACATGAATCTTAAAAGGAAATTGCTTCCATTTTATTCTATTTGTAGGTATGGTTATTACACTATTTTTGTTGTTGTTGTTGACAAGTCCACTAAAATAATCCAGGAACACAGCAAGAATTTTACCTTATACAATAATTTTGAGTATTTTCTCTTTTAGCTTTATTACCATTAGTTAAGTGATATACAAGTGCTCAAATGGAAACATGATAGACTTACAATTCTCAGGACAGTGTTTCACAAATATACAATACATAAATGGGAATTTCATTAGTAAATTGCTTGCATTTTATTCAATTTCTACATATAGTATTTTTGATGCTGCTACTCCATAAGCCTCTTCTACTGATTCAGAAAAACGTAAATAATTTTGTCTCCTGAAGTATTTTTCAATTTTCTCTTCTTTAGTCTTTCTGCTGTCATTATGTGATTACACAATTGCGCAAATGGAAGCTCAATAGAACTGTAATTTTTAAGATAGTGTTTATAATTTCATTTAAAAGTGAATGTCATTTTTTCTGTCTCTAGATAGTCTGAAGATAGTATTTCAATTGTTTAACTTAAACTTCCCAGTAACATGGTCATTAAAGTACCATGTCCATATTAGTTCTTTATGAAAGAAATCTGGAAGGAATGGGGTATCAAACATCAGATGTGCTAACATCTGATTGTAAATAAAAATCAATACATGTAAAAAGCAATGCCAGTGAGATATCTGTGGACATTAACTGGAGTCCTAAGGTTGCATTCCCCAGTAGAAACTGAATTGAACCAAGGTCAGAAGCAGAGCACCAAGCAACTGATTCTAGTTTGGTTTTTTTTTTTTTAGATTTTTTTATTTATTGATTTGACAGACAGAGATCACAAGTAGACAGAGAGGCAGGCAGAGAGAGAGAGAGAGAGAAGCAGGCTCCCCGCCGAGCAGAGAGCCCAATGCGGGACTCGATCCCAGGACCCTGAGATCATGACCTGAGCCGAAGGCAGTGGCTTAACCCACTGAGCCACCCAGGCACCCCAACTGATTCTAGTTTTAAACAGACTGGCTGCCAATGATTTTCTCAAACCATAGCCAAATGCAGAACATAGTTTGCCCCCGTTTTTTGTTTTGGGACAAAAATTTTTAATCTGAATCCATAATGCTGTTGTGAGAATTAAATGAAATAACACAAATATGGTGCTTGCAGGAATATCATTATTAGATCTATCATTGTTAGAAATGTTATTATGGGAAAGTAATGGAAGAGAAAAAAGCTATAGTTAGATTCACTATACCAAAAAGAGAATAGCAATCGTGACTCATGTCAAAATTGAAGTTATTAAAATGTAATCAAATTCAGAGAGCACACTTCTAAGAAAAAGTTAAAGGAGAGACTCACGTTAATTTAAAATATGAAACATTTCAATATTTGAGAACCATGAATTAATTTGGAATGGTTCAATAATTCTTATAAATGCTAGTAAGTGACAGCATAAAATACATTTGCTGGTGGCAAAATTTAAAATTAATGTAAATCCAAAAAGCTGCGATATGGGTGGAGAGAAAGAAAATGAATGATTTGCTTATCGATAAAATGTGACTATCATTAAACAAGAGAATGGAAAAATGAATACTGACTTAGCTAGAATGCTAAGAAGAGAAAAAGAATAATATTGAGAATGGTCGGGAAGAGAACTGACCCCATTAACTGTCAGTGTAGAGGCCACTTCAGGAATGGCTGTTTGGCCTGCAGAGAAGCCTCTTCCCCAAGAACCCCCTCCCCAGTGGACAGGGGCAGGCTCAGGCAGAACCGGATGCACTTTGAGGAGGTGATCAGTTCAGAGGCAGTGTGATCTAAGTTAGGCTACTAAGATCTTATCTCAGGATTTGGGGATTTGGAGCTGAGTGACAGAGAGACTGGGATGAGAGTGATATTAGTAGTGGTAGTCTAGGGATAAATCAGGTATATAGATTTATTGTTAAGGACCTTAAACTTGCCCTGGCTCTTGGTTCAACAACATTCAATGAATTCCCTATGCCGGGTACTGTGCCCTCCTGACACCTCTCTTCCCTCTCCAGCCCCATCTTTTTAGCCCAAGCTAGCTGATTAAGTTTCTATTATTTAAAATCAGAAAAAAATTTTCAAATCATTTGAAGTAATATTTATACAGCATCAAAAAATGTACCACTTTTACATTACCAATGAAATTCTAAATAGTAAATATAGATTCTCTATGAAGTTTATTTCAAAATGAATAATGAAGTTCTGGAAATTCCAGGAAAGATAAATGTGGACAAGAGAGAGGTAAAAATAGTTATCAGTAAAAAGAAAGAACATGGTTTTTCCATTTGGCTTTATGACCAATGCACTACATGATCTTTTTTTTTCTCATTTTGTAAGTGGAAGACTGATGGAAACTATGTTACCATCTAGTAGAGGTCTATAACTTGTTGTTTGGGAGCTATTGAATTAAACCCTAGAGATTCTGAAATACAGAATTTTAAAAAATCTTTTGGTTATTCAATAAGCTCATTTTTATAAACAGGGATTGAGGTCAGGGGAAATTGACTACCTCAAGGTCAGGAGGATAATTTTAGGCAAGGTTGCTTCTAGAACCCTAATGCTCTTTGGACATAAACACATTGCTAAAGAAATGTTTCCTGACAATTAGAAGTATAATGAATAAAATAATGGTAGCCTATTCATTACAGATAGCTTATTGGTGATCAAAGCTTGCTTTGTCATGCTGTAAATGTTTATATTGTAACAGTCTAGACATTTCATTAACATATCTTGAAGAATGGGAGATATTAATTTATCCACTTATGAGTCACCATGGATATAAAAAACAAATAAACGAAATTGCCCTCATAATGTGAAATGCTGCAACATAATGACAATTTGATGTTCTTGTTTAAGACTTCAAGTTGAATGTTGATTAGTTAGCAATATATTATACTAAAATTTTCATTTCAGAAATAGTTCATTAGTCTAGAATTGGTGGATAGGGACATTTATAATTACTTTTCCCAAGACTGAAAAGGTATTTTCTCCTATGCATGAACTTTGAATATAAACAAGAAGCACAGGTTTTGCTATTAACACTTGGTATAGGAAACTGTCTGCAGAGTCAACTCTGGGGCTGTGTTTAAGTTTTTATACTTCAACTACAGGAAAACTTCTCCTCTTAATATTTTCCCTATAAGATGATGGCAAAGTTAAATGAATCTGGATCATCTGTGACCCTGTAACCTTTATTGACTTTATAAGTCTCATCCCATTTACTAAATAAAGAAAAATAAAATCAACTTTCTATGATGAATATGTATGATTTTCATAATTGGGAAAAATAAACTTTACTATTAGCATAAGTAGAATCAAATCATGACTTTTTTCCTACAGCTGGTAATTTTTAGATCCCATATTAAATTAAGCCTACCAATTTCAGGTTTAAAATTAAGTTCTAGAGATCAACCATACAACTTTATGCCTATAGGTAACAGTACTATAAAGTACACTTGAAATTTTTAAGAGGAGAGATCTCATGTTAAGTATTCTTAATTCAATAAAAAAAAATTAAATCTATGTCATATACACATTTTGTTTTCAATGAATAATTTTAAAATCTCTTTTTTCTTAATTATAAAAGTAATATAGAGACTTGCAGGTCACAGACAAGATGGAGTTGTTGCTCTTCTCCCCATTCCTTCTATTAGATACAACTAAAAACCGGATGGTATTAGGAAACAAAAACATGAAGACTCTGAAAGATAAAGACAAAGCAGACTGGCTAGTTACCTTAAAAGACGTGGCAGTGAGTTCCCTGGGTTTTCCTTTTGCTTCATATTCCTCAGACTGGGTGCTACAGATGCAGGCAACCTAGAAATGTCAGCAGGCTCAGACAAAAAATGCTCCCAAAAGCCTGCTCTCTCTAGACAAAGGACTGGGAAAGGCACAGCCTAGCAAGGAAAAACAAAAACAAAAACAAAAAACATCTGGTTAATAACCACTCGTGCAGAAAAAAATTAACGGGGGAGGTCTGAGCCATAGAAAATCTTGCTTGAAGGTTGGCCTTTAGACAGTCTGGAAGCATCACTGATTAAACTGTTCCCTACATTGATACTAAACTTTCTCCAAATGATATGGATGTCTCACTATGCCTAGACTATTCATGCAAGTGATAATGGTTTATGCTGTACACCTGCTTTCCTTCTGGGGGTCTGGAATTGGTGCTAGGCAGTGGGTATACATATGACACAGCAAAAAAAAAAAAACAAACCTTTGGTACTGAGTCTCTAATAATTTCCTGGAAGACTCGGGGTGCCTGGGTGGCTCAGGTGGTTAAGCATCTGCCTTCAGCTCAGAGTATCACTGGGATGGAGCTCTGTGTCAGGCTCCCTGGGGAGCCTGCTTCTCCCTTTCCCTGTGCCTGCCCATTCTGCCCGCTTGTGGTCTCTGTAAAATAAACAAATGAAATCTTAAAAAATAAAAACTTCTCCCCCAAAAATTAAAAATAAAAACCTCCCTGGAATACAATACTTAATACTTGTTGCCACAATTCACTGATGGAAAAATTAAGTGCATCCTGGGCAATTCTATTGGGAGAGAACTCTTCGAATTTTGTGCCTGGTTTTTGCTAGAGTTCACTCTATAAATCTTTGCCCTTTGTTGATTGTGCTTTGTAACCTTTTGCTGAAAATATCATCAGTGAATTCAACCGTACATTGAGTCCAGTGAGTACACAAGAGTGTTCGTGGAGACCCCCAACACAGTGCCATACTCCAACCAAGTATCACAGAAAAAGTCATGGTCTCACCCCCACCTCTGTCAGCAATAGCTCATGGGGGAACATAGACTTTCACTCATGTCATACTATAATGAGTTATCCCAACCCCTCTATGAGGATAGTGTCAGAGAAAGCTGTGGGAAGCCAGAACTTTTACCATCTTCCAGTGGTAATGAGGTCCTCCCCCACACTACCCATAATGTCAGTGGAGGCCATGCAGGGAGTAATGATGAGGCATCCTTCAATCTCCCAACTAGGCGGGTGGCGTCAGTGGACGCCTGGTGGAGAACCTGAACTCCTACTCCTACACAACAGTAATGAGGTGCCCTTTCCTACTCACATGGGGGTAACAAAGAAGGCCTAACAGGGATATGAGCATGCACCCCAAACAGAAAGTTATAAAGTGGCATCTCTCTAACTTCACTCTGTGGTATCAGAAAAGGCCTATTTAAACAGAAGATTTAAATAAGATCCAGAGTATCATAACATAATATCCAAAATATTCAGTCTACAGCAGAAAGGTACTTGTCATACTAACAACCAGGAAAATCTCAATTTGAATGAGAAAGACAATCAACAGATGTCAGCAGAGATAAGAGAGATGTTGGAATTATATGAAAAGGATTTTAAAACAGCCAGCATATGGGGCGCCTGGGTGGCTCAGTGGGTTAAAGCCTCTGCCTTTGGCTCAGGTCATGATCCCTGGGTCCTGGGATCAAGCCCCGCATGGGGCTCTCTGCTCAGCGGGGAGCCTGCTTCCCCCTCTCTCTCTGCCTGCCTCTCTGCTTGCCTCTCTGCCTACTTGTGATCTCTGTCTGTCAAATAAATAAATAAAATTAAAAAAAAAACAGCCAGCATAAAAATGTTTCAATAAATAATTAGGAACATGTTTGAAACAAACAAAAAAGTTTCAGCAAAGAAATGGAAGATATAAAGAAGAGGCAAATGGAAATTTTAGAACTGAAAAATTACAATATCCTAAAATGAAATTTAAAAAAAAATTAGTGGATGGGCTCAACAGGAGAATAGCAGATTATAGAAGAATCAGTGAACCTGAACACAGAGAATAGAAATGACCCAATCTGAACAATAAAGAAAATATATTTTAAAAAAATTAACAGTTCTGGGCCTCTGCGGGCTACTCTAAACGATCTAATATTTGTTCCAGTAGAGTCCTAGAAGGAGAGGAGAAAGAGGGTGGGCCTGAAAAAGTATTTAAATAATTTCAGAAAAACTCCCCAAATTTAGAAAAAGACATAAGCCAAGATTAGAGAAGCTAAGTGAACTTCAAACAATAAATCTAAATACATCTCCACCAAGACACATCTTAGTCAAACTTCCAAAACTAAAGACAAAAATAATAATAGCAATAATAACCCTGAAGCAGTAAGAAAGAAACAACAGCTTACAAAGACTAGGAAAGAACAGTTCACGTGAGATTTCTCTTCTGAAACTATGGAGGCCAGAAGAGAGTGGCACATTTTTCAAGTGCCAAAAGAAATATCAACCCAGATTCTGTATCCAGTGAAATTATCCTTTAATAATAAAGGGGAAGTCAAGACATTCTCAAATGAAGAAAGTCTCAAGGCATTTTGTCACCAGCAGACCTATCCTAATAGAATGGCTAAAAGAAGTTCTCTAAACAACAAGGGAATGATAGAAGGAACTTGAGACATTAGGCAGAAAGAACAATGGAAGGAGTGAAAATATGGGTAAATACAATAGACTTTTCTTCTCGAATTTTCTAAATTATAATCAATGATTAAAGCCAACATTATAATATTGTTTGATATTGCTTTCAATGTATGTAGAAGAAATGTTTAAGACAATTATAAACTGTGGAGAGTAAAGAAACATAAATGGAGTTAAGGGTTTTTTTTTTTTAAGATTTTATATATTTATTTCAAAGAGAAAAGCAGAGAAGGAGTGAGGGAGCATAGCAGGGGGAGTCACAGAGGAAGAGGGAGTAGCAGGCTCCTCACTGAGCAGGAAGCCCAATGCAGGCCCCATACCAGGACCAACCCCAGGACAGATCCCAGGAGTCTGGATCATGACCTGAGTCAAAGGCAGATGCTTAACCAACTGAGCCATCCAGGCACCCTGGAGTTAAGGTTTTTATACTTGACCCAAACTAGTAAAACACTATCACCAGTAAACTGTGGTAAGTTAGGTATATGTAATGGAATACCTAGAGCAACCACTGAAAGAGTTATACAAAGAGATATACTCAAAAACACTACAGACAAATCAAAGTGGAATTGCAAAATCATGTGGAAATAACCAACAGAAAGACATGAAAAAGAAAACAGAAAAACCAAAACCAGAAGGAACAAATAGAAAACAATGAATTGGCAGACTTAATGAATTGGAAACTTTAACATATCAATTATATTACATACAAATGGTCTATGTTTTTTGTAAAAGTCAAAAACTGAAAAAAAAAAATCCAAACAGGTGAATAATTAGACAAATTGTGGTAAATCCATACCAGGAAATGCTACTCAGCCACAAAAGGGAATGGACTTTTGCTAAAGACAATAGTTTGAATAGATCTCAGGTGTCTTATACTGAGTGGAAAAAAAAATCTCAAAAGGCATATATGTAGGATTCCATTTACATAATATTCTGGAAATGACAGAAACGTAAAGATGGGAAACAGATTAATGACCAAGGGTTAGAAATGGTAAGAGGAATGGGGGTGGGGGTGGGTATAAATGGGTAGCACAAGGGTATCTTTGTAGTGATGAAAGAGTTCTGTATGTTGATTGTAGTGGCTTTGTGAATCTATGTCTGATAACATATGATATAGAATTATATGCATATACTAATATACCAATGTCCAAGTTTTGACACTAAGTCTATGAGAGACATAATAATCAGAAAAAAAAAACGGTGAAGGGTGCACATGATCTCTCTCTTTGCAACCTCCTATAAAATCTATAATTATTTTTTTAAAGTATATACAAACTGTATATACAAATATATATACATCTAAAGTATAAAAAAGATTTGCAAGGATAGGCATAAAAATTATGTGTTAAGGATATATCTGTATTATTTGAATTTTTTTAAAAAATGCCTTCATGAGTTTTTTTATATTAAAAAGAAAAAGAATGCAAAATTATTGTAAAAAATCCAAATATAGAAAAACATTAACAAGATGAAAAAACACTTGCTCTGATGCCATCAAGAGATAATTTCAATTCACTCACTAATGAATACTGAATGTATCCTATGGTGCCATGAGCTGTTAATATTTTGGTGTATATTTCAGAACTTTCCTGTGCATCAGGAGCCATATACATATTATAATCATTCATGGATATGCATTATTATATGCATCATATATAACAAGCTCTCATTACTTGACATTCTATTCATGAATATTCATCCATTGCTTTAACCCACATCATGCTAGACTCTGGGAATATAATGGTGAATTAATCAGACATGGTCTGGTACCTCACAAAGCTTACAGTACAGTGAGAGACTGCCACTAAAAATAATCTTCTGAAATAAATATGGAATTACAGATTGTGTCAAGTTTAGACAAATGTAAACAATGTTTTGAAATGTCCAACTGTGAAAGGAAAGATATCTTGACGGCAAGATACCATCACATGCTTATCATTGATGGAAATGAACCAGTAGAGAGAAAGATTAAAAATACAGGTGCCAGAAAGGATACTAGATTTAAAGCAGGCTGACAAGTAAGGAGCCAGAGCACAAGTATAAGGGCTGGCTTCAGGTAGAAGGAAATTGCCATATAAAAACAGAAGCAAAATAAGCAAAGACAGGTGCAGGATGTAACTTAGTTCATAGATTCAGAGTCTGAAGTTAAGGCAATTCCTCTTTGAGATCTTCTATTTTCTTTCTCTCTCTCTCTCTCTCTCTCTTTTTTTTTTTTTTTTTTTGAGCGGGGAGGGGAAGAGGGAGAAGGAGAGAACCTCAAGCAGACTCCCTGCTGAGTGCAGAGTTTGACATGGGGCTCAATCCCATGACCCTGAGATCATGACCCAAACCGAAATCAAGAGTCAGATATTTAACTGACTGAGCCACCCAGGTGCCCAGAGACCTTCTATTTTCTTATCAAAAATATAAGACAAGGTCATCTGCCAAGAACAAGGATGTAAACTGAAAGATCTGAGGTTTAAAGAGAGTTGTGGTTTTAAGTTGTCATTTGGGAAAGCAAGCTAAATAGAGAAAGATAGTAAACTTGCCAGGCTGAATTAAGAGCCTGTAGAGCGTGCCCTACGGGGCAGATTCTAATCATTTTCAACACACTGACTGCAGTCAGAGAAAAGGCAAGGGAACAGGTTTCAGGAGAAACAAAGTGCTATAGTAACTAAATAAGAAAGGAAGGAAGGAAGGAAGAAAAAGAAAAAAGAGAGAGAGAGAAGAAAGGGAAGGAGGAAGGAAGGATAGTTTTTTAATAGGGAGGAGAGTGAAAATAGCCTGAGAAAAGGGTAAGGAAGTAAATGGGTTAGGGGAACGTGGGGATAAAAGTAAGGTGGTGGAGGATTTCTGGCTTGGGTGCAGGAAAAGTCCTTTAGCCTTCTAATCCAAACATGATCAAAGTGATGTCAGCAGTTTATCATCTGGTTTTATGAAATCAGTTCCATATTTCCTCTAGTCTCTTAGACCTAACAACTTACTGAAACCTAGGGAAGAATTCCTAGGCATCTTTAGTTGCTGCAAAGAATTACGAGTGTGGCACAAGTATATTACTCTCCACACATTAGAAGGAAAGATCTACTGAGCAACAGGAGGCAGAAATTTAATTATTCTCTTCCTAATGACACTCGTGAGTTGCTCTGAGCACCTTTTTTTAAAGTTCATTTTGTATTTTTTACTAGTTACCAGGAGTCCAGCTCCTTTTTTTTTTTAATTCAACTAGCCAACATATAGTACAGCACTAGTTTCAGATGTAGAGTTCAGTAATTCATCAGTTGCATATAACACCCTGTGCTCATCACATCACATGCCCTCCTTAATGCCCATCACCCAATTACCCAACGCCCCTACCCACCTCCACTCCAGCAGCCCTCAGTTTGTTTCCTATAGTTAAGTCTCTGTGGTTTGTCTCCCTCTCTGATGACTTCCCATTTTCCCCTCCTTTCCCCTATGATCCTCTGTGCTGTTTCTTATATTCCACATACGAGTGAAACCATGTAATTGTCTTTCTCTGATTGACTTATTTCCCTCAGCATAATACCCTTCAGTTCCATCCACAACAATGTAAATTTTAAGTATTTATCCTTTCTGATGGCTGAATAATATTTCATTTTGTGCATGTGTGTGTGTGTGTGTGTGTGTGTGTGTGTGTGTGTGTATGTAACACATCTTCTTTATCCATTCATCTGTCGATGGACATCTGGATCTTTGCATAGTTTGGCTATTGTGGACATTGCTGCTATAAACATTGGGGTGCACATGCCCCTTTGGATCATTACATTTTATCTTTAGGGTAAATACCTAGTAGTAGAATGGGTGATAGGGTAGCTGTATTTTTAACTTCTTGAGGAACCTCCATACTGTTTTCCACAGTGGCTGTACCAGCTTGCATTCCCACCAACAGTGTAAGAGGACTCCCCTTTCTCCCCATCTGCACCAATATGTTTTCTTTCTTCATAATTTTCCAGCTCCTTTAGTTCTTAAGATAATTTTTTATTTCATGAATGTTTAGATAAGTAGAAATGGACTTGGAAAAACAGAGATAGGGACAAATCATCTGTTAAATGGATGATTTGTCCAAAATAGGCTGCTACCATTAGATATCATTGTTCAACACTTGCAATCATTAAATTATCTACACTTGAGTAACATCAAACTTATCAGATTCTTTGCACAATGGCTATTTTATCATTAAAAAGAATTTTTTATGCATCCTTTTGCTTAGATTTAAAATTTAAATGGTCTTAGTTGACATTTATGATTAACAAAAACAAGGTTCTCTAGTAACATTAAAAAATATAATGTGGCCAAGCAGCTGGTTAGCACATGAACAAGGAACAGACTGGGTTGAAAGAAAACTACAATTCATTCTGGAGTTCAGCCCCTTGTTTTTTGACAATCTCTTTGACTGGACTGTTAATGTGTGATTTTTCTACAAATTCTTTTAATTTGGGGTTTTTCTTTTTTTTTTTTTTTTGTGAGAGAGTGTGTGTGTGTGTGTGTGTGTGTCTGTATGTGTGTGGGTTACTTGGGAGCCAGGGTGGAGGAGGAGAGGAAGGATAGAATCTTAAGCATGCTCCAAGACCAGCATAGAGCCAAGAGGGTTGGGTGGGGTGGGGGGCTCTATCTCACCACCCTGAGATCATGACCTAAACTGAAATCAAGATTGGGATGCTTAATCAACTGAACCACCCAGGCATTAGCCCCTCCCCCCTTTTAAGGAGAAGGTGCTTTTTTTTCACTGAAGATGTTTCAATTTAAAAAATGAGCAGCTTCTCATGCACTACTCATGCAATAAAAGTTACCAAAAGACAGAGGTAAGGAGAACATAAAATAGTGTTTGTCTTAACTAAAAAACTGTTAAGACACAAAACTTGGCTCTTTGCTTCCTTTCCATCACAGCCAAAAGGGAAACATGAATCAGTTACATCACTGTCAGGAGAAGGAAAAATATACATAACTCAAAGACTGGTGCATATCTGAAGCCAATACTATGTTCGCATTTTCCCTTCCTTTTCAAAATCTAAGTCTTGTCTGGTGCCATACAGAGCAATCTAGCTGCAATGATTTTTTTCTTCTTCTGCCTAAAGGCAAAGTGATACACGTTGAAAGCTCGCTGTACGAATCAGATAGGGACCGCTCGGAATTTCCACTAAAGTCTACAATTCTTTCGTCAGGATTTGTAATTGGCTTCCTCAAATTCAGAGGTGGGGCGGGGATGGACGAGTGGAGATAAAATTCGATACAATACTTTAGTGATCTCGAAGGCAGCTGCCATACTGAGATTTGCGTCTTTGGTTTTCTGAGCCCCTTCCCTTTCCTGCAGGTCCTCAGTTTACCGTTGCTTTGGGTAAAATGGGTAGAAGTTTAAGCTCCTAAAATTACTAATGTTGGAGGCCCCTGATGCCGGCGCGCGAGGGCGGGGGGGGCGGGTGGCGGTGGTGTGTGTGTGTGTGTGTGTGTGTGTGTGTGTGTGTGAAGTCTTCAGTCTTAAAATTCACCTTTCAGCCCTCATCCGGAACAGGACAAAGCCACACGAGTCCTACGAAGGTCTCAGCACACCTGAGAAGCCAGGGTAACGCCACCGACACACCTCCGACTTCGGCGAAACAATACCAGAGACGTCATACACCTGAAGCACCCGCCCAGCTCGGCCCCCCTTACCGGGCGCATGCGCAAAACAGGGGAGGTCCGGCAGCCGGCCGGGGCCCTAGCTATCTGCACAGTGGTTAAAGTCTCGGAAAGGCCCGGCTGCCTCGCCCGGTGAGGGGATCCCTGGCAGCGGCTATCTAGGATTGCCCCCTCCAAAGACCAACGCGGGAAAGAGCCGCGCGGTCTCCAGCGCGTTTCCGTTTCCAACCTGAACTTCCGGTTCGTTAGCCGGTTCCGGGCCCCGTTTTTCACTTCCGGTCGCCCTCGGTTCCGCTGCAGCCGGTTCCTGCGTCCACTGCTGCCGGTTCCGCTGCGCTCCAGGTGAGGGGACGCAGGACACCCCGGGGCGCTGCCCATGGAGAGGCCGTTGGGGCCGGGGGACCGCAGCGCAGTACCGCTGTTCGCGCGACGCGGCCACCACTGCGGCGGGCCGCGGCGGGCTGGAGGCTGCTCCTGGGCGCCCTGGGCCGCGTCCGACCCAGTCTGCGGCCCAGGCCTCCCACCCCGGCCAGCTCGTCGCAGGGGCCTCCGCCCGCCCATCCGGCCTTCTCGCTTCTGTCGTGGGCTTCTCGATCCCCAGTGGGTTTTGCGTCCCCTAACTTCATTCCTCCCTCCTCTGGGGTTTAGTGCATCCGTCGTCCTCACCCTCCCTGTTGAAGGCATCCGGCCTCGGGGGTTTTGAGCCTCTCCCATGCTTGTATGCTGTCCGAGACCATTCACTTCCCATAGCTGTCGTCTCTGCGCTGCCTCGCGGTTGGCTGCTGGTGTGCTGTAGGCTTGTTGGAAAGTTAACCTCTCAGTTCCCCAGCTGTTAACTTTTAATGCTGTTAGTTTCAAATTTTCGCCTTTGCTGTACGTTTAAGTCGTGTGGTCTGGGACAAGTTGTTTTCTTTCTCAGTTTTCTAATATGTCTAATGCGGACAGCAGTCATGAGATGAGGATTGCGAAAACCAAGTGAGATACGTTGTTTAGCCTGTTGTCGGTATTCCGTCACTGCCACCATTCGTCTTTAGAGTTTGCGAAGTGCTGTCACGGGTGTTACCTCACGCGTTAACCACTCTTCTTGTTAAGTAAATATCAATCGCCTCATTTCGAGGTAGGGGTTTTGGAATGGACTAGGCAAGTCAGTACAGTATGGCAGACAGAAGAACTAATCTAAGCAGCTGCTCTTGACTCGAGGTTCACCGTAAAGATGAGATCCTTACTTGTGTGGGTTTAATTGCCAGCCACTCCCACCCCCCAATCAGTTTTCGGTTTATAAATCTGATAGGGTCTAGAATGATACAAAATATTCGAATTGTGTGAGAAAGAAGGTTAAATGTAAAAACATAAAAGGACTCAGGGATTTGCTGTGTATGTTTTGTTGTGAATGATCTGAAATGAGGTTCAAAAGCAGTTCTAAGAACTCTGCATTTAAAATTTTGGTGGGGTTTGTTTTTTTATGCTTGGTCCTGTAGGGCAGTTGCCAACTTGGAATTCCCACTAGCGGTGTAGGTGTACAATGTATAACATTTGTATACTACTTTACTAAGCATGCAGAGCCCACGCCATCTGGCATATTTTCTTTTTTTGCTGAGAAAATTGAAGTCTAGAGCACTGGCTCTCAAACTTTTAGTATGTCTCGAGATGTGGGTGAGGGGGAGGCTGGGGCAGGGATTGTTAAAACACAAATTGCTAGGTCCTTTCTCTCCAACCCCAACTGTAATTTTAACAAGTTACTGTGTAGGGTCATGCTGTTGATTGATCTGAGGCCACACTTTAAGAATACTGGTCTAGAGGTGAAATGACTTGTCCAGGCTCATCTGGAGCTCAAGTGATCTCCAAACTCCACGCCCCCCCCCACCCCATAAACTGTGTAAGTGCTGTTTGCACTCTCAGTTCTTACAGATTTTCATTTTTATTTCCACTTTCACAGAGAAGTAATATTTAAACCATATTTTAGTTTGGCTCAAAAGGCTTTTTTAGCTCATTTGTTAGGGAAAGTTATCTCTAACAGAATACATTGCCCTAAATTAACTCTTTATGTAAATTTCAGTAGAGCAGATAAAACATAACAGCATAAGTATAAGTGATTTTTCTGGTGTTCTCTTCCAGTGGACATGTTGAAGACGTCTTAAGTTTCTAAGTTACTTTTGCATATTATGATTCACAATTTGCCTTCCTGCAGCTGGTCATAATCCAAGGAGAGTGCAATCAAATATTTCATTGAACAAGCAATAACATTTGGAAATGGAGATTAGGAAATTCAGTTCCCTGAACTGGAGGTGGGGGGATGGATTTAGGAAAATTGATAGAAAGTTTCAAGGAAGAAGAGACCTACATGCTATTGTTGATGAGTATAACACCCAGTACTTGACCTATCTGTGCTTGTATCTGTGCCTGTGGGTTTTGCATTTACTGATCTTTGACACCTTGCCTCCTGTAGGTCCCAATTTAAGAGAAGCAGTTGTGATGTAGGGGAAGAAACATGAGATTTAGTCAGAAGACCTGTTCTGTTACCAGCTCTGTGCCCATGAGCAGATTACTTAACCTCTCTGAAGTCCCATTTCCTTAATTATAAATGAGGGACAATTCTTATCAACCTTGTTAAATGACATTGCATTAAAACTGTCCAGTTTGTTAAATATGAAACACGCAATGGCTGTACTTTTCATTTAGCACAGTGCCTGGAACACTTCTGCTCAAGTTGTTAAGAAAATGTATCTGGCCAGTACTTATTTATGTAGTGCTTACTATGTGCCAGGTCTGTGTGACTTATAAATATTAGCTAATTTAATTCTCGTAAGAACTCCAAAGTAGATAGTATTCTTATCTTTAGTGTACAGTTAAGGAAACCTAGACGACTTCCCAAAGTCAAATACCTAATAAGTGGGGTAGATGGGATCTGAACCTAGGTACTCTGGCTCTAGAGTTTTAACAACTCACTGTGCCACTTCTCAAGTGTTAAATGAGTATGAAAGTTCCATCATAGCATAAACCTGGTCAAACAGAGAGGGAGGGATAGGTAGGTGATCATTGCAGCTTAACAGTCGAACAGGGAGAATTGTACAGATCTTCAGAAGTAGTAACTTTAAGCCAAAAATTGGGAGGGTAGAGTAATTTTAACTTTGAGCCCTAAGTACTTCTGGTGTTCTGGTAGCATTTCTGTAAGGAGAAAATATTATTTTTCCACCATCAAATTGTAAAGTGGGACTCAAACTGCATTGCTCCTAAAACTTAGTTACAAGTTTGGCTACAGCTTTGCTATATCTATTTTAACTTAATTACTTCTGTGTCCCTTTCTTTTTAGGTGTCTTTTTCTTAGTGAAAGCTGCTTGATCATATGTTTCAAGGATGGCCCTCCCTATCATCGTAAAATGGGGTGGACAGGAATATTCAGTGACCACACTTTCAGAAGATGATACCGTGCTAGATCTCAAACAGTTTCTGAAGACCCTTACAGGAGTGCTACCAGAACGCCAAAAGTTACTTGGACTTAAAGTTAAAGGTAATTCTCTCCTCACTTTTTAAACTTTTTGCATTGATATATTTATGAATTTTTATGTTAGTTATTTTTTCTCTTTATTAAGTTTTCCCCTTGGAGATTTCTTTGTTAGGGATATTCCTAAAATTATTTTATGATAAAAGTAAGAATATTAAAAATTACTTGAAAATACCACCACTATTAAGATTACTTTTGATTCCTGTGACAGTTGGTGTTTGCTGGTTAAATCTTTGGCCCTAGAAGTCTCAGGTAAAACAGTGTAATTTCTGACATCGGTGTTCTAGCACAGATTTTTCATTACAGCTTAGTTCTTGTACTCTCCCTAAATTATCTTTTTTGCTTCAAAAGTAATGATGATTTAAAATGATGATTTAAAAATTATAAGTAGTGTTCATATCCAGTCTGAAAGGGACTTTCATGGTGTTTGTGTTTGTCATATCACTGAAAGGTGAACCTTGGATAGCAATAAATTCTAGTTTTATCTTGTGCTCAGTGTTCAAGACTTTCTGGAGAACATCTTCATCTTGAAAAACAAAATAAAACATGAATTTATTTTGTTTAGCTGGTTGAATAAAGGTGTTCCTCTGAGATGGAGTTGGGGAAAAAACAAATCTTGTATTAGTTGCTACTTTTTAGTGTGTTAGGCATCGCTAATTCAGAATTTAGTGAAACTAAATTTTTCATTTGTCTCAGCAAATTGCTGATGAAACATATTTGACTTTGTTGCATCACAGTATAAATTAAGTTTGTTAATTTAAGGAAAAAAAAAAAAAAACTGCTGTGAAATCTGTACCAAAACTTTTAATGTCAGGGTTTTGTATAATGGGATAGTGAAACTAGCACCTGAACTTTAGTGAGAAAACAGTCATTTGCTTGTATTGTAGGCAAACCTGCAGAAAATGATGTTAAGCTTGGAGCTCTCAAACTGAAACCAAATACTAAAATCATGATGATGGGAACTCGTGAGGAGAGCTTGGTAAATGTTTACTTTTGTTACCATTTGTCCCTTTGAAGATATGATTTATATTACATTGTTGTATCATGGTTTTAATTGTGGTAAAATTGTCAGTTTGGCAATTAGTGAAAAATAAAAACTTCAGTGTATGTGGTATTAACTCAGTGGAAAACAAATACTAGGGAACTTGTTAGTATATAGTTAGCCATAAGCATAGTAGTAGTGCAAATGGTCAAATTTAACATGGTAAATCTGCCCAGTAAATGTGTATAGTGCATTACAAAATACGAAATTTTCTCATAGTGTGTGTTTGAAAGATTCTTGAACTCAGACTGTATCTTTTATTTGCTTTTTATGTTGTGCATGTATTTGTTATGTTGAAGACAGTCTAGTAAAACGAAACTATTTTTCATCTTAATAGGAAGATGTCTTAGGTCCACCTCCTGACAATGATGATGTTGTAAACGACTTTGATATTGAAGATGAAGTAGTTGAAGTAGAAAATAGGTAAGTGCTTTATACTATAAAAGGAAATGGGTTGTAATGTGATAAAAAAGTGAATGTTTAACCTGATTTTATTTTTCCATTAGGGAAGAAAACCTACTGAAAATTTCTCGCAGAGTAAAAGAGTATAAAGTGGAAATTTTGAATCCTCCCAGGGAAGGAAAAAAGCTTTTGGTACTAGATGTTGATTATACGTTATTTGGTAAGTCAGCTAAAATTGTGCTTCATCCTCTGTTACCCATAACAATTCTCTTTTTTCCTTTTGTTTGTTTTTTTCCTTCCAATATAAAATATCTTACATTTTATATTAACACGTTATTATAAAAAGTGTATCATTCATTGTAGAAGATCCTGAAGTCATCTGTAATCCCAAACCCCCAAAATAACTATTCTTATATTTTGAAGTGTATCTTCTAGGTGTGTTTGTATGTATATCCTTTTTACTTTTGCTTAATGATATTTTGAGTATCTCAGTCATTTAATATTCCTCATTATGAATTAACGTTACATATTTTTTGGTCACCACTACTCTAGTTTATGAATGTATCTTAATTTAGCCACATCATTCTCTGTTGATTAACATTTAAATTTTTTGAGGATTATTTAAAAATCATTGTTTATATTTTTCCCCTAGTTTTTCTTTTAATTATGTTCAGATCCTTTAAGATTTTTGTTTTTCATGTCACAAAATAACGTCTATATTTTATAGACCATATGAAAACTAAATTTGCAGTTTACTATATAAGCCTGAATTCTGGGTATTGCTCTTTCCAAAATAAATAAAATTGATTAATTAAAATTGAATCACAGTGATTTTAAATTGTATGTTTTCAAAAATGTCTGTTTGTCAACCAATACAATTCAGTCTCAGGTAGTTTGCATTTGAATGTTTATATTACATTTCATAATTTTCATATATCAGGTACTTGTCCAGGATAACAAACTAGTAATCAATCATCTATGACTGGTTTTCTTTTAGACCATAGGTCTTGTGCAGAGACTGGAGTAGAATTAATGCGGCCATATCTTCACGAGTTCCTAACATCTGCATATGAGGATT